TTCTGGTGTTGGTATTTAAGCCGAAGGTCTGTTGTAGTCTTGCCAGATGGTTGGATAGTTGGTTTTTTTTTTTTCCTTCTTTTTTTTCAGAAGCAGCTGCTTGATCAGCAACTCCTTAAGTGAGTTGTGGCAGTTTTAAGTTTGCATTCTGTCCTCAGGTTCCAGAGATCAGCTCTGTAGCCTGCCAACTGTCCTGGTTTGGAGTTGGGTTTTCACTGTGCTAGTTTACTGGGGGCTTGTTTCTTTGCCTTGCCCCCTTTCTCTGGGGCAAGGTCATTGATCCATCAGCTGGCCCCCTGGTGGTTTGCTGATTATCTTTTACTTTGCAGTGTTGTTTGACTTTGGATGTTGCTCACTGGCTCAGGAGATGAGCTTTGTAGACTGCTACCTGCCCTATTTCAGGCAGCAGCTTATTACCTGCCCACTGTCAGCCCTTCTGCCTTTCCAGCCTTTGTTTGCTGAAAGTCTGCATGGAGATCAGCTCCTTGCTTCTCCCCTTCTCTGGTGCGCTTACAGCACCCTGCTCTCTTCCACTATGTGCTAATTTTCAGTTCATTGTTTAAGTTTCTTTTGTGTGGGGGGAGGTGTCAGTCTGCCCAGGAGGTATGCTGGTTTATCCCTGCGGTAGCTGGGGGAATACTGCACGATGCTTGGCTCTCATCTGTTTGGTTTGTCGAATGTCTCCCAAGCATAATTGGAGCTGGTGTCTGGTGGTGGCGGGATCCCTCCTGTTTTCTCAGTGTAATGTGGCGTGGAGAAGGTTTCTATGGCTAGGGGTTCAGGGTGTCTTGAAGTTTTGATTCTCCTTGCTGCTTTATTTCTGCCAAGTGTGACTCCAGCATCTCACCAAGTTTTTGATTCACGTAGGTCACGCTGTCTGCTTCTGCGCCCTAGTCGCTATCTTGGATCCTCATCTTTCAATTTGTAAAGTAATTTTGATTTTAATAGTAGCATCCTCTTTTTTCTCAGTTAGTCTATAAGGAGAGGCAGTTCCCTCAATATTTTTTTCCTCAAATATTCTGTTTTTATCACCTTTTCCCTGATACCTGAGAAAGAAACTGGCTTATTTTTCCTTGTTCCCTAACATTTTGTGTTACCCATATATATGGCTCCTTGGGTAAGAGAAGGAAGGAGCGGAGGTTGCGTGCTGGTATTGTCTTATTTGCAGGCTTAGTGATTCCAACTTGAGAGATTCCACTTGATGACTTCCATTTTTTCTGGGAAACAGGAAGTGAGAGTGATGGTGATGGTGAGAACATTAGTGTTGGATCTCGATTGTAGTGACACATGCTTCTTCCCTTGGTTAAGGAGACCATGATGAGTAATAGTGCCAAAATAAAGGATGTCAAGGGCTGAATAGCTCATGTCTACAATCCCAGTCATTTGGGAGGCAGAGGATTTTGGTTCAAGGCCAGCCCTGGCAAAAAGTTACCAAGATCCTGTGTCAACAAACAAGCCATGCATGATGGTGCACAACCTTAATAATCCCAGTTACGCAGGAAGTGTAGGTAGGAAGATTGTGATCTGGGCTGGTCTGGGCAACGTAGCAAGACCCTATCTTAAATATACTGAATAAAAAAAGTGACTGTGTGGTTCAAATGATAGAGTACTTGTCTAGCAATCACAAGGCCCTAAGTTCAAATCCCAGTTGATCAATCAATCAGTCAATCAGTGAAGAAATAAGTAAGTCAAAGCATGCATTTCTTTGCTTGGGTTGAGTGTACTTTTGACTGAAGCACCAATTAGGTTTTCCTAGAAAGCTTCATTCTTAATTATTTTCATGTAGCATGTCATGTAATATTTTAGAAATTGTCATTTTTCTTTCTGAATAGAGAGAAAAACATTAAAGTCTGCCTTGTTAAGTTTATGATATGACTTAAGTAAATAATATATGTGAAGTAAGTACTAAGATGATTTCCATGTAACTTTATCTAAAAAAAAGTTTTTAATTAATGGCATCCTTTTAGTTTTCTCCCCCAGGTCACAGTCATGGTGAATATTTGCGTTTCATGGAAAGAGGTCTGAGGCCACCCTAGCAAGGGCCCCATAGAATGAGGCTTTCAATGCTTGTGCTGTTGACACCTGCTGATCACTAGGGCCAATGGTGTTTTATTGGCTGCGATGGCTCAGACTTTGTAATGTGAGAAGCCAGTCGAAAATTTAACATGTTTGTCTTGAAGAGTAGGTGAACCAGGTGAGGGGTAGGACCTTTCTAGATGAAGCAAATATTTTTCTCTGAATTCAGATTCTGTAAAGATTTCTTTGAAGTAAAAAGCTGCTGCACAGCAAAGGAAACAGTTATCAGAGTGAGAGATTACCTATGCATTGGGAGAGTATTTGTGAGTTATATTTTTATAAGGAACTAATAAATAAGATTTATAATAAGGAACTTAACTCTATAGGAAGAAAACACATGGTCCAATTAAGAATTGGGCAAGGCACCTAAATAGACATTTTTCAAAAGAAGAGTGAATACAAATGAATAACAGATATATGAGAAAATGTTCAACATCACTAAGTGATGAAAATTAAAACCACATTGAGATATCTCCTCACACCTGTTAGAATGGCTAATATGAAAAAATTAAAGATAATTCTTTCATGTAAAAAATATATGGAGAAAAGAGAACACTGGTACAGTCTTGGAGAGAATGTAAATTAGTACAGCAATTATAGAAAAGAGTATTCCTTAAACAATAGTTGCTCAAAAAATTAACTACATATTATCCAGCTATACCAGTTCTGAATATTTACCCTTAAGATTTGAAATCAATATGTTGAAGAGATGTCTACAATGCAGCATTATCCATAGTAGCCTAGTTATGGTTGCTGAATGGATAAGGAAAATGTATATATGTATATACACAGTGGAATAATATTCAGCTTTTGAAAAAGGCAGAAGTTCTGTCATGGGCAACATTGTGGATGGAATTTAGAGAATATCATGCTAAGTAAAATATGCCAAACACAGAATGACCAATACCACATATTCTCACTTATGTTTGGATTATAAAACAATTGAATTCATAGAAGCAGAGAAAAGAATGGTAGTTATCAAAGGCTAGGAATGGACAGAATAGGGAGATGATGGTCAAAATGACACAAAGTGTCAGTTTAAGCCTGATTTGTTTTTGTTTGTTTTTAGATCTGTTTCACAGCATGGTGACTATAGCTAATAATTGAGTACTGTACATTTTGATGTTACTAAAACAGTACATTTCAAATGTTCTAGTCACAAAAAATTAGTTATTTCAGGTGATGGATATGTTACTTAGCTTGATTTAATCATTCTTCATTGTATTTAAAAATCTTGTATCATATTGTGTCTCATAAATATACACAACTATAATTTGTCAATATATAACTTCTTTCAAAAATCTGTAACCAAAAAAAATCCTTAAATGTAGCTCTAGATTTTCTTTTTTATGATTTTTATTAGGATATATTCATTATACAGGGAGGGATTCACAGTGACAATTCCAATTAGACTTATATTGTACATTGGTTACATCACCCCCATCACCTCTCCCCTTTAACCCCATCCCTGCCCCACTTAAAGCAATTGCAAGAGGTTTCTTAGTTCTATTTCATATAGGTGTATGAAATCCATCAACCATATTCCCTTCCTTCATCCTCCCCCTGCCACTAATACCTTCCCACACATTGTACCTATTTTATAGCCCTTTCGTTATTATTTAAGTTGATGTTCAAAGGGGTTTCTCAGTGTATCTCCACTGTGGGTATACTTTATATCTAATATCCACTACCTTCATATCTCATGTTGTTGGAATTGGGAGTGTGAGGAGCAGAAAATTATGAAATGGGATGTATTCAGTAGGATTTACATCTCTGCTAACGGTGCTTTTGAATTTCTCAGAGTACACAGTCTCAGAGCTCCTTCTGGTCTGGCCTTGGGATAATAAACTTGCCCACATTGACAAAACTGAGATTTAACCAAAAAATGGGGGCCCTCCTGCCTTCACCTAGAATTTTACTTAAATTGAGCCTAAGGATAAGCTGATCATCCTTTTCCTTAAAAATATCAGAAGGAAAAAATTTCCTTATTTTAATGTCAACTCATTCTAATGTCTCCCAACTCAAGAGTGACCTTCCTAATGTCTGTTATGAAAATTTCTTGCTTTAGTTTCTGTGCGGTTTCATTGCCTCTTCCTAGTGGAAACAGGCATCAGCCACACAGAGAGTTGTCAGCAGTCATGGATTGTTATTATTCTTCCACCTCTAAACCTATTTGTAAATATTTAACAAAAGAAACTTAACTTCCATTATTCCTTGTGTTTATCAGCTCTTCTCTCACTGAGGAAACGGAAGCTTTCTCAAGAGAAACTTCTGGCATCTTAAACAAATTGTATTTGTGGTTAACATTATGGTAGCAGAAGCCTGAGTCATGAAAATGGTACTTAGAGATGGAAAAGATGTGTCAGTGTTGAACCAGCTGTTCCCAGAACAGGATCTCATTTTTCTGTGCTGCCCCTCAATTATCTAAGATGACAAGCAACCCTTTGCTGAAAGCAGCTGCTCTGTATTTGTGTGTCGGTGCACCTGTATGTGGGCATGTTTTATTTGATCCAATAATCGGTGTTCTGAGTTTTGAGGTTTAGAAAGATGGCATTAAGAAAGATTTTCATAGGACATAATTTATCAAGTTGGGTCCCTTCTTATTACATGTGTGATTAAAAAAATCTGTTACTTAAAATACTCTTATCTTTCTTCAAAATATGACCCTTAGGTTTCTTCTTTCATGTGAATGAGTCATCTCAGTAGCAATCAAAACAAGTTTGAAGCTGAGTTTTGATCTTAGTCTGTCTGTGTATTACTCAGCCTTTTGCCGGCAGTGAGATCTTTTATGGAGCCTGCAAACATATGTGTAGGAGAATTAAATTTTCCACACTACTATCAGCAAGCTAAGGAATAAATGGGAGGACCTGGGGAAACTAAAAGGAGGTAAAAATCTATTGGAGAGAAATAGGAAAATTAGGAGGATGAAACAAGGAAAGTCAAGGAGGAACAGAGAAGAATCTGCCTTGTGCAGTCAGCATGTGCAGTCAGGGGGAGCCTGCACTCTGCAGCAATCGCCTCGTGGCAGTCTGGACTCCTCTTTTACCAGCTGTGTGATCCTGGGTGAGGGTGTGTTCCTACACTGCCTTTGCCTCACATTCCTCATCTGTTAAATGAGGATCAGCAACAAAGCCAGGACTTTATTATCAAAGAAGGGCTGCACTGTCCAAAATGGTTGCCATTGGCTCTTCAAGCACTTGAAATGTGGCTGTCTCTAAACTGAGAGGTGTAAAATGCACATGGAATTTCAAAGACAGCACAAAACAAAATGTGCAAAATATTAATACATTTCGTACTGTGCACATGTTGAAATGATAATATTTTGTATTTATTAGGTTAAATGATAGCATTACTAAAGTAATTTCACTCTCCCATTTTACTTTTTAAATGTGGCTATGAGGACATTTTAAATGTCGTACATGGCTTGCATTATATTTCTGCTGGGCAGTGCTGGTCTAACACTTCCCTTATATGGTAAGACCAGAGCAAGAAACCAAATCATAGATTTTGCTGGAAAGAAGGAAGCATTGAGGCTCTTGGGCTTGGCTTCACAAGCATAAAGGTGATGCATAGAGACAGAAATACCATGGCAAAATTGAAAGAAGACTTTCATGATGCATCCTGCAGCTTGTGATCCATGACTAGCTGCTGTGCCTTATGACTGGATGTTTTTATGAATCCTATAAATATCTTATGAGTAGCACAATTGTGAAATTTATGTAGTTGTTGAAAGTTCAAATGTTTTTAATGCAAGTGTAACATAATCCATAGCTTTTGCAACTGCTTAGTTACCGCATTTTTAATATTGCAAGCATCAGTCAAAATGTGGAAGTAGCCTTAGGGCTGTGTCTACCTCTGAAAAGCCGCCCCAAATCCATATTTGTCATATACATAAAAAAGATGTCTAATGCACACATATGTTCTTAACTATTTTTATGTTCCATATTTTATGTGGTTTGGAAGATATATCCGCTTTTAAGGAAACTAAAAAATAAAAAAGGCCCAAGAGAAGGTCCTATTTTCTTCAAGGAGAAGCTCTTGCGCAGTCAACTCCAGATGCCTCAAGGTCTTCTCATCATGGCTGGGAGGAGGCAGGGAGTGACCTTGTCTATAGTGACAGGGAGTGTGCCAGAGGTGGAAGACTGGGATGGTAAACCCAGCTGGGACAGAATGTTTTTGGGGAGATTTGATTCTGGCTTTGACTTAGCTTGATTTGGCTTATTCTGCTTTTTTTTTTTTTTTTTGCAGTGAAATATGAGGAGCTATACTGCTTTTCATTCAATCCCAAGCTGGATAAAGAAGAAAGAGAGCAAGGCTGGATGCTGATCAATCTTAGTGAAGAGTATAAGCGAATGGGCCTCCCCAACAATTATTGGCAGCTCAGCGATGTGAATAGAGACTACAGAGTGAGTGGATGCATGGAGTGAAATTAGTTTAGTATGACTTTTATCTGGTTTAGATTTTATAGCTCTTCATAGATAAAAGAATGAGGGTTTCCAAGTGTCTCTTAGTTATTGCTGACTTATTTTCTACCTGAAAGTGTGAAAAAGGGAAACAGCCCCTGTGCATTCCTCTTCTAAGGGTTGAAGAATTGGAAACACAGGGAGGCCTCATGGCCAAGCAGTTGGTGGGAGAGCTGGCTGGGACCTCATTCTCCCATCACATCTTTTTATAGCATAGGGAGCGATTAGTAGGGAAGTCTGAGAGACTCTGATGACAGTTTGGCACCAGCTTCTCAATGTGCTCATTGGATTCTTGATTGGTACACAAGGTCACCAAGAGGTTCCCTAGAGAGATGTGGGGAAATGTGTCTGCATTTGCAGGAAGGAATACAGAAGAGGAGGGAAACAGGAGTGGCAAATTAAGTCCCTGTTCTTCCCAGTGATGGTCACATGTCAGTGTTGGCTTCCCTATGAATTCATGACTTCTTAAAATGTTTTAAGTAATAAAAGTAAACCTTCTAGAAAGATTTTTTTGTGGCTTTTTTTTTTTCTTTTTCCTTTTGCAGTGCTGGGAATTGAATCCAGGGCCTTATGCTTGCTAGACAAGCACTTTGTTACTGAGCCACAGGCCCGGCCCACTCTTCAGTCTTTAAATTTTCCTTCATTTGTTCTTAATTGCATACTTTGGTAAGTTTTTTTCTTACCTAGGTAATGCTTGTGTTTACCTGCCATCCACGGTGACTGTTCTTTGAATTGGTCATTTACATTTTTGCTCTTTTTCCTGTAAAATTGTTTGTCGTTTTTTGTATTACATATTTGTAGAAGATTGTTTGGGGTACAGTGGATACTTATGATACTTCTTTGTAATTACATTCAAATTTAACAACTGCAGACTTACTTAATCATTACTTAAGCATCTGACTAATATAATCAGATTGGTTTATTTTAAAGCCAACCTTTGCATTGAATTTTTAGCCTTGAAATGAAAGGAAGGGAAATCCGAGTTTAATAAAGAAAATTGAAGGTCTTTTTGAGAAAAAAAAAAAAACCCATGACACATCTTGGGCAAGGAAGAAAATGAAGCTGAGCCACATCTAGTGGAATAGTATTTTCTTGGAAATACAGGTTCTTTTTATGTTTTGATGAGATTTTCTTCTAGAATTAGCATCACAAACATGACTCATGTGTACTCACTTAAGTCTGTAAGTTGTAGACTGTATAACGTATGTTAATCAGCATTTGTTTTCACAAGTGACACATAGGAAAACAAAGGTAACCACTAACAATCTGTGTTGAGACAGAAAAGGAAAACCTAGGGGATTTTCTGAGTTTGTAAATATCATTGAAATAGAGAAAAGCTGATGGATGTACATTTCTTACCAATTTAGAAATAAAATAAATACTGTGGTCTTGAAGAAATCTCTAAGTAGAAGTCCACTGAAAGAGCTTCATCTTAATTCATTCCTGGTGGTTTTAACCTTATGGTTCAGAACATGTGTTTATTTCCCTCCTTTGTTTTATGAGTTATTTTACACTTTTCACAAATCCTTTGAGGTAGATAGGGCAGGTGGTATCATGTGATCGAGAAGAAACTATTGTGTATGGTAGAAATTACATCAGAGCTGGTGTATGAAAACTTGGGACCCAGGACCAGTTCTGCCATTTTCTATTTGTGTGGTCTTAGGCAGGCTAATTATTATTAGTAGTAGTATTATTGTCATCTATCATCATTATTGCCTCATTAATGACACTTGCTTATGGTAGTCTTAACTCTCTAAGCTTGGATTTCATTCTATACCTACTCTTGAAATTATCTTTATTTAAATAAAATAACTGGTATTAATTACTAACTTAAAATTTTAATTGAATTCTCTTTAAATAAAATTTTAAAATGTAATTCAAACCAGCCATTTTATTAAATCTTGTTTACTTCAGTTCCCTACAGCTATATTTTATGTATTATTTATTTATTTATAATCACTTTTTGTTGTTCATACCCTTCTTTTCCTCATTCATCATAAATTACTTGAAATAAATTTTAGGTCCTAAATGTTTAAGAAGAAAGTTTCTATACAGATATAGTTCAGTTCCTGACCAACAAACTCTTACCCCAAATTGCTCAGTTTAGTAATTGATCTATAAATACAGAGGTCTTGGGCTGCATCTCAGATGGATAGTACTCTGCAGAAATAAACAGGTTTGCAGGGATGGCATAACAGGTCAACAAAGACCCATTGTTCTGGGAGCTTGAAGTGGTCAAGGCCACAAAGTGTTTTTCTGTTCTGCCCCAGTGCCTAACAATAATGTCTGGTGTATAGTAAGTACTCAGGAAAGCTTGAATGAGTGACAGAATCATGGAAAAGATTCCTTTGGGCAAGACCATGCTGAGACATGTGGGTATTCCAGGCAGGTAATTTGTTTAGTGGAAGACAAAATTATTTCCTTATTCATAAGAAAGCCCAGAAGACTAACTTGCTAATCTATTTTCATTAATAAGTAAAGTAGAGTCAGAACAAATTCTGAAGAAAAGAAAAAAGAATCAGAAGAAAAGTTGGTTTTTTTTTTTTTTTTCGTTCTTGTGAGCTTTTCTTACCCTCTGAATTCTCTGTTTTAATTTTAAAGACCAGATCAAGTCTGGAGGCATATTGAAGAGTTTTAAAACTTAGTGGCGTGAATCACATTCTGTGGTGCAGATTATTCATTATCAGAATTCCGACTACAACTTTGTAAACTTGTTGCAGAAGTAACATCAGTCACTGCTAAGACTGTTGTTTCTTTTTTATTGTGATAAAAATACATAACTTAAATTTACCATTTTGAGTGTATAGTTTAGCAATGTTCAGTATATTCACACTGTTGTGCTGTTGAACACTAAAACTTCTTTCATCTTATAGTTTCATCAACTGAAGCCTTGTACCCATTGAACAGTTCCCTCCTTCCTCCTCCCCCAGCCTTTGGCAACCACCGTTCTACTTACTGTTTCTATGAATTTGACTATTTTAGATACCTCATATAAGTGGAATCATACAGTACTATCTCTTTGTGGCTGACATATTTTAAAGGATTTTCCTCCTTTTTAAGGCTGAATAATATTCCATTGTAAATAGACTACATTTTGTTTATCCATTTCTTAGGTGATAGACATTTGGGCTATTCTCTCTCTTTTTCTTTTATTCATATGTGCATACAATGTTTGGGTCATTTCTTCCCCCTTCTCCCTGCCCCCTCCCTTTTCCTCCACCCTCTCCCTCTCCCTCCCTACCCCCTTGCTACCAGGCAGAAACTATTTTGCCATTGTCTCTAATTTTGTTGTAGAGAGAGAATAAGCAATAATAGGAAGGACCAAGGGTTTTTGCTAGTTGAGATAAGGATAGCTGTACAGGGAGTTTACTCGCATTGCTTTCCTGTACATATGTGTTACATTCTAAATTAATTGTCAAACTAACCTTTTCTCTAGTTCCTGGTCCCCTTTTCCTATTGGCCTCTGTCACTTTAAAGTTTCTGCATTAGTTCCTTTGCACTGAGGACATCAAATGCTATCTTGGCTTTTTTTTGGGGGGGGTTCTTGCCTATCCTCATGCCTCCCTTGTGTGCTCTCACCTCATCATGTGATCAAAGTTCAATCCCCTTGTTGTGTTTGCCCTTGATCTAATGTCTGCATATGAGGGAGAACATATGATTTTTGGTCTTTTGGCCTAGGCTAACCTCACTCAGAATGATGTTCTCCAATTCCATCCATTTACAGCGAATGATAACATTTCGTTCTTCTTCACGGCTGCATAAAATTCCATTGTATATAGATACCACATTTTCTTAATCCATTCGTCAGTGGTGGAGCATCTTAGCTGTTTCCATAACTTGGCTATTGTGAATAGTGCCGCAATAAACATGGGTATGCAGGTGCCTCTGGAGTAACCTGTGTCACAGTCTTTTGGGTATATCCCCAAGAGTGGTATTGCTGGATCATATGGTAGATCAACGTTTAGCCTTTTAAGTAGCCTCCAAATTTTTTTCCAGAGTGGTTGTACTAGTTTATATTCCCACCAGCAGTGTAAGAGGGTTCCTTTTTCCCACATCCTCGCCAATACCTGTTGTTAGTGGTGTTGCTAATGATGGCTATTCTAACAGGGGTGAGGTGGAATCTTAGTGTGGTTTTAATTTGCATTTCCTTTATTGCTAGAGATGGTGAGCATTTTTTCATGTATTTTTTGGCCATTTGAATTTCTTCTTTTGAGAAAGTTCTGTTTAGTTCACTTGCCCATTTCTTTATTGGTTCATTAATTTTGGGAGAATTTAGTTTTTTAAGTTCCCTATGTATTCTGGTTATCAGTCCTTTGTCTTATGTGTAGCTGGCAAATATTTTCTCCCACTCTGTGGGTGTTCTCTTCAGTTTAGAGACCATTTCTTTTGTTGAGCAGAAGCTTTTTAGTTTTCTGAAGTCCCATTTATCTATGCTATCTCTTAGTTGCTGTGCTGCTGGGGTTCCATTGAGAAAATTCTTACCTATACCCACTAATTCCAGAGTATTTCCTACTCTTTCCTGTACCAACTTTAGAGTTTGTGGTCTGATATTAAGATCCTTGATCCATTTTGAGTTAATATTGGTATAGGGTGATATACATGGATCTAGTTTCAGTTTTTTGCAGACTGCTAACCAGTTTTCCCAGCAGTTTTTGTTGAAGAGGCTGCTTTTTCTCCATTGTATATTTTTAGCACCTTTGTCAAAGACAAGTTGGTTATAGTTGAGTGGCTTCATATCTGGGTCCTCTGTTCTGTTCCATAAGTATTTTTTTTAAGGTGGTTTAATTTCTTTGCACTCCCCTTGTAAGTGCTCATTAGAATGCCCTGCATTTAAGCTCTGTCTCATGGAGTTGTTTCCCCTAGAGCCAGTGCTCTGGGAAAGCAGGAATGAATGCTTGTGACTGGTGTTTTGTTCCTAGAGGGGAGTATATGCCAGCTGGCGCAAGCCTGACCTTTTTGACTGGGCTCAGGTTGTTGAGCTCTTGGCCCTTGTATATACCAACCTTGAAGGTCTGCAGGGGTAGAGCTCTGGTACTTCTAGAGGGTGAGAAGCTGTCTCTGTGCTCCCCAGCTAAGTAAAGATGATCGTGTGTGCACAGATTAACAGTGAGGTTCTTGAGTTAGGCTGAGAGTATCAAGGAGAGTGTGCTTTCTCTTGGTCTTGCTTTGGTGCACCTAGAGCCATGACCTGAGGCAAGCTGGGTATTTTTTGGTCTGGAATATCATTGTTGGACCTGGCAAGATCTCCAGAGTCTATCACTCATCTCTTGGTTTTCTGAAGCTATAGGTAATAAGTGTGATGGGAAATCTTGCCTCATTTCACCTAGTCATAAAAATTTGCAGTTCCTTAGTGTTGTTTTAAGGAAGTACTTATTTACTGAAAAACCTACCTATTTCCTCTTAAAAATGGTTATTTTAAGAAATGTCAGTCTGGTGCAATGACTGATGTCTCTTGAACCTCAGGCAAGCAGGCATGGTCTGTGTGGTAATCCTCACACTGGCTGACTTAAGGCAGATTCAGACACTAGGCTGGCATGGGGAAGAAAGTCCATGGTCTTGCAGCATCCTTCCAGCACTCTGGCTCCAAGTGGGTTGGGTCCCTGCTCAACTGGATTTTCTTCCAGAGTCTAGAGCCTGTGTAAAGCTCTTTGTTTTGTTTTTGTTTCTTCACAGCACTGGGGTTTGAACCAAGGGCTTCACGCTTGCTGGACAGGTGCTCTTACCGTTTGAGCCTCTCTATTGGCCACTCTTTGGTAGTCTTCTATCCTAACATGTCTTTGGTGGAGTCCTGAAATTGCACTTTGAGCCTCTGAACATTTTCTTTGTGGCACTTTTATCTCCTGCTCCATGCTGTTTACCAGTTTGGTGAACAAAGACAGAGGAGGCAGGCAAGGTGGGACATCGTGACAAGGCAAATGGCAAGAGCTTGGGATCTCTCTTGTAGTGTTTTCATTCCTTCATTCCCATCTGATAGTGATAAGCATGGATGGAGATGGACAGGGGACCTGCAGGTAAAGTATTTCCTCTGTTGCTATACCAGCTTGAGGACTCCCTTGATTTGCCTAGGCAGATGCCTGACTTCCAGGAAATGAACATTCCCTTGATGAAGCCCAGGAACTGGCATTGCCACATTGCAGAAGGATGGGTTGGTTGACTGATGTGATAGGAAAATACGTGTTAAGCAACATAAAAACTACAACTGTTACCACTGTTGGCATTTCTTTTCACTCTAATCAGTTACAAAGTGCTTTGCCACGGGTGTTGTCTGATTGTTCCTTTATCAACCCCTTGAGATATTCTTGCTGTAGTAGCAATTTTAGACATTAGAAAAACCAAAGTGCTTGGTGTGGTTTGGTTTCCCCTAGGTCATTAAAGTTGCTAAATCAGAGCCAGGTGCTAAATTGCTGATTTCTGATTCTAAATGACAAGATCCTTTCAAGCTGTTATCATTGCTATCAGAAAAAGCAAATCACTTCTTGTCACTTACAAAACCAACATAAAAGAAAGCGAATAAAGTTGTAACATTGTGTGGTAAGGGGTGGCACATTAGGAAATCAGATCTGGAAATTGGCTAGAGCTGGAGGACCACAGAGAAGGCTTCTGAAGAAGTAGGATGGGGTTGGCTCTGGATGCATGGATGAGATTTGAGAAGACAGGCAGGGTTATCCAAGAAGAGCAAAGGATTGCCCAACGTGTGCCAGGGACAGAGGGGGAAACCTCAGGACTTTACTACTGTGCTTACATTTTAGGAACATTGTCCCCAGGGTCAGGCTGTCTTTCAACCAGATATAGGCAGCTAAAGTTTTTTCACCTGTCAGGATGCAAAATTATAATTTGTCCTTTATGAAAGGAGGGCTCATTGTTACTTTCTTGCCTCACATAAAGAGCCTTGGAGAGAAGAGACAATGCCCAAAGACAGGACATTCATGGCTGTCTTGCTTTTTCTTCAGAATCATTTCAGAATTATTTCTCTGAAGTGACTTCTGGTTTCTTAGAAATAACCTCCTCCGTAACTCAAGGAAACATAAATATGCCACCTCTAAGCATGTTGGAATGGAATTTGCAGAACATTACTTGATTGCCTAAAACCCTTTGTGTTTTCCGGTGATAGGTTTGTGACTCCTACCCTACTGAACTGTATGTTCCCAAATCAGCCACGGCACACATTATTGTGGGGAGTTCCAAATTCCGGAGTAGACGGCGATTTCCTGCCCTTTCTTACTACTATAAAGATAACCACGTAAGTCTCCGGGCATGCTTTTGTTTTATCATAAACAGACACTTTCTAGCTGCCTTCAGGCTGTGTTTGCACTTATGTGTTTTGTTTGAATTTTTTTTTTTTTTTGAGGCAGGATCTCACAGTGTAGCTCAAGCTGGCCTCAAATACACTATGTAGCCCAGGCTGGCCTTGAACTTGCGATCCTCCTGCTTCAGCCTCCCAAGATTATAGGTGGTGTTTGCATTCTTCTTAAAGGGATATGGATATTTCTCTGCAGAGTATGGTGCAATCCAACTGTGCTTACATCTTTGTCTCATGTAGAAGTTGACCTTCCACGTTTATTTGACAATAAATTCACGTGAATTCACCCACATGAATACCCTCCTCCTCTAAACGGCCCCCTCAGGAGGCTCTCTGCTATCTACATGCTGGAGATCCTTTTGTGTGTCTATTTTAGAAAAGATCCTGAAGTACATGGCTGATTCCTTCCTCTCCCTCCCTCCCTCCCTCCCTTCCTTCTTTTCTCCCCTCCTCCCTCCTTTCTCCTGTCCCCTTACTGCCTCTCTTCTTTTCTCCTTTCAACTTGGCCTCGCACTTGCTAGTCAAGTGCCCTATAGCTCTTGTTTGCTTTAGTTATTTTTCAGGTAGGGTCTTGTGTTTTTGCCCTCAGCTGGCCTTTGACCACAGTCTTCCTCTAATGTAGCTGGTATCGCAGGCATACATTGTAATACCCAACTTACTTGTTGAGATGGGGTTTCACTAAGTTTATGCTGGGGCTGGTTTTATACTACAGTCCTCTTGATCTCTTGTCTCCCAAGTAACTGGGATTGTAGGCATGAGCCACCACACTCAGCCTTTTTTTTCTTAATGGCTGTGTTCTTTCAAGTATCCTTAATATAGGAAACTTTTGTCTATGAAGAGTGGGTTTTATTTTAAGTATTATTTGTGAAAGCTAGAATTAGGTTTGTCTGTAACTAAGAGACCTTCAATGACAGTGACTTAATAGGCTAAGATTTTATTTTCTCTCACATAAAACCAGAGGTGGGCAGTCCAGGCTTGATGCCTTGACTTTACACCACAGAGCCCTCAGGGACCCAGCTGTCCCCACCTCTCTGCTCTGCTGCCCTAGGGTTTGGTCCACATCCACATGGTGTACAAAGCGACTGTGGCACCAGTCATCACCTCCACACTCCAGACAGTAAGTGAAGGAGGGGATAGTGGTGTGCTCCCAGCTTTGGGGTGGGAGGCTCTGAGAAATGTGTGTGACACTTCTGCTCACTTCCTATTATCAGAACTGCAGAGACAGGTAAGAAAATACAGTCATATGGGTAACCATGTAAATTGCTAAAAATTGGAGTTTTCATTTCTGTGAATGATAGAAGAACAAATTTGGAGGAGTAGGAATGGTGTTTGCCACCTACTTCAGAAGTTACTTGACTCCAGCCAGGTGAGAAACTATGGTTTCCATGCTTGATACCATGGTTTTGGATTCAAAGCCAAGTGATGTTAAAATTGAGAGAGGGGTTCTGACCTTTCTTTCTTACCTGTGGTGATGTTAGACAGTTTAGGCTTAAGTGAATGTATTCCTACCCCAATGGAACTTTTGATTGTGAATAAAAATACAACATCTTAAGTTTCTGTCCCCCTTGTGCCATTACCAAAGGGGCACTTATATTTTGACAGTTGAGCAGGTGGACTTGGTGTTAGATTAAGGAATGTTTGAAACACACAGCATTTTATGAACCTGAAGTCCTGTTGAGGGTCCTTTGCTATAAATTCTTCTGCTGGTGGTACATATTTGCCTTTGGATTAGCTGCTATCCTGCTTGGTTCTGTAATCATGTTCTGTTCACCTCTGGTGAATTTGGGGCTCCCACCCTTGGGTTATGGGCCAACATGACACTTGAACACTGGACGGAGGAGATCCCCAGCAGTTTACTAACCACATCTGCTCCCTGCTCAGGGGAATAGGACTCCACATGCATGAGAGGCCCTGAAGGGGTTGTAGCAGGGGACAGAATGACAAGCAGGAGCCCTGAGAGGCAGCATCAAGAGGGTGAGGTCAGCCATGGTTCCTGCAGGATGGTGTGATTGGGTTGATTGAATAATTCCATGGGCTGGTGGGGAACTGAAACCCCATACTCAGAGGTGACCAGGAGCTCCCTATGTGTGTTAGATAAGGAGAACTGTTTAACAAGGAAGCCTTACCCATAGAGGAAGAGTGTGGAGGAGAACTTGCTTCTAGGCCTGTCCATTTTACCAGATGTCATGTAACCCATAATATTGATTTTAGACCTTTTGCCAGATGCAGGTTGTATTGAGCCATCCAGACTCCCTTTGCAGTCAAACAGCTTTGCAGATCATGGTTCGATGTGTGTAGCTATCCCTCGTGTTCAGAATTCTTTGCAAGCTTGTAATTGAGAACCCTTAGAATTCCCTGATCCTTTTTCTTTATTATTATGTTACAGTTTTTTAAAAAGAAGTTATTTTGCTTTAAATTGTGCATCACATGGTCTTCTAAATTCATAGCACCGATCTCTAGGACACAAGCTTCATGAAGATTGCCAGTGAGGCAATTTTCCTTAAGAAAAACAGACTTGCTCTCCATAGTAACTGCTTATTGGAACTTGTGTGTTAGGCACAGATCTAGGAGTGTCGCAGTGTCATATACATTATCGTTACCTATTTTATACATGAGAAAACTGATATTCAGAGAAGAGACACAAATTACCCAAGATCACCACAGATCCAGAGTGAAACTAGGATTAAAAGCCAGGTCCTCTTGAATGATGCTTTTAGTGCTATACCATGCTGTCTGATGTATTTCTTCCCAGGGCTGCTATACTGTTTTGGTTAGAAATTCAGTTTGTTTTTTAATTTATTTTTGTGGTGCTGGGGTCAAACCCAGCACATGCTAGGTAAGTGTGCTATCATTGAGCTACATCTCCAGCCCCTGGTTTGGTTAAGAATTCAAGATTAGGAACTGTATTATCTCGATTCAAATCCTGATTTTCTCAATTGTAGCTGTGTGGCCTTGAACAAGTTCTTCAAGATGATGTGTGCCTCTTCACATCATCTATAAGTAATAATAGTTCTTACTGTGATGATAATTAGGAAGATTAAGTAAATTAGGTACTAATGTTTGCCTCATAAGCATCCAAAACACGTAATACTCAATGATCTGACCATCTGGGATGTATGTGATAGGGTCCACAAGGCACTCAGAGACTACTTTCTGTTCTTTTTGAAACTAGAAAGGGTGAACAGTCACTTGAGTCATGCAGAATTCTATTTGGAGCACCTCAAAGATTATTAAGAAAATGAACTACAAGAGGCCAAAATGTAATCCAAAATGTAAAGTTGAATTTATCAACCACACTTTATAGTATAACTCTGTTCTGACTTAACCTTCATTTAAAGCTAGCTAGTTGGGCTGGGCATGGTAGTACACATCTGTAATCCCACCTACTCGGGAGGTGGAGATAGAAAGATTGTGGTTTGAGGCTAGCCCTGACAAAAGTTAGTGAGACCCTTGCTGTCTCAAACATAAGCAAGACATGGTGATGTATGTTTGTAATCTCAGCTGCTCAGAAGAGGTAGAGGTAGAATGAGACCCTATTTGAAAAACAATCTAAAAGCAAAAGGACTGGGAGTGTGGCTCAGGAGGCCCTTAGTTCAGTCCCTAGTACCACATAAATAAATAAATAAATAAATAAATAAACAATCAAATAAATAAAGCTAGTTGCTTTTCCTCAGAAGGTAATTAATAGCAGTTGTCACTAATTTGCTTAATTTCATGATTGAGATTTCTCTAGATTAGTGAGTTTGGATGTGTGCAACCTCAAACAAATGCTTGCCAGCTCAGAATTATTCTCTCTCCAGTCAGAATTCCCTCAGAGCGGGGTGGCAGACCCTGACCCTTGAAAGGTCAAAGGAGTGAGAACCCTGCCTCCCAACCAAGTCATCTGTGGCACTTTGCTTTGTGTCCTCTGGACACAGCTTGTGTTTGCTCCTCAAGCCCCTTTGTCCCTACTGTGACTTCATCTTGCTTTCGGATCTTGCCCTTGTTTATTGTCCCCGTCCCTGTTCAGATCCTCTAGTCCCTTTCTCCTCCACACTCCTCAAGATTTAGATGACTCTGGGGAACTCAGCACTGCTCTCCTGAATTCTGAACCTGGCTTCAGGCCCCAATTTCCTTGAACGACATCAGCAATTGCCCTGTTGTACTACAGAATGGTCCTGGAGGCTCAGACAGCTGTGTGTCCAGCATTCTACAAATGATGCTTGGTCTTTAGCGCTAGTGAGAAATAAACCTGCCCTCTCCAATGAAGAATTATTTAGCTCATTCTTTCTGGAGAAATCCAAGCCCTTGCTAAGTTGTCATGGGTTGAGCCTTCAGGACAGGAAAGTTGGGGCTGGACTTTGGGGGTGGGGCTGTAGTAGACCCCTTCATGGACAGAGCCCTGCACACAAATCCCTGTGCAGGAGTAATTGACGGTTTTCAGTAAGTTTCCCTTCCTTGTCTGCCAGGGGCTCTGTTTACTGACCATCGCTATCCACATCCTCTTACACAGTGGATTTAACTGTTTCAATGTAGATTCTTTGAGTCACTTGTGTATTTTATTGGGAGATTTATATTAAATTTAAGTGTTAAAACCTAATACCCCAAAAAGTACTTTTCCACGAAAGCTTAAGTTTTATAGTTGCAAAGTAATCTATACTCACTCATGATTCAGGGAAAGACTCATGCACTTCAGTCATCCCTGGGTGTTTATGGGGGATTGGTTACAGGATCTCCTTTGGATACCAGATTCTGAGAATGCTCAAGTCCCTTGTATAAAATGGCATAGTATTTCCACATAACCTGCACACATCTTCCTGCATACTTTAAACCCTCTCTAGATTACTTGTAATACCCGGTACAATGTAAATGCTATGGAAATAGTTGTCATTCTATATTGTTTAGGGAATGGTGACAAAGCATCTGGGTACATTCGGATGCGTGTTTCTGAGTATTGCTGAACTGTGGTTGATTGAATCCATGGAGATAGGACCTGTGAATGTGGAAGGCTGACTCTACTCTGCTAGAATTGCAGGGTAGGGGAAACTGCAAGATAGAATGCAGATTGATTCTGAAGAAACCCTTTATCTCTAAGCATAGCATGGGAATGTGCCTGCTCTCCTTAGATATCAAACCTCGGTGTCACCTGGGATTTCATTATTGTGGAAATTTGACATTTGGAATTAGAATTGTTTTTTGATATTTGTGATATTTTAAAAATAGGCTCATTTTTTTAAAATGATGGAAAGCATTAAAATATATTTTCATTAATCTTGCCATGAATAGTATCCTGTAAGTTTTGGGAGAATAGTTATTTATTTTGTATTTCTACTTTCAGCAGGAAAATGAAAGAATATCAGTGAAATGGAAAGTAGGTTATTTAAATGGGTTTGAATTTCATGATTTGGATCCTATGTAAACATCTTTAAACATTCCCGAAATCTTCCACACAGAGTTTTTGGTTTCTTTGACCTGAATTTAAAAATAAACAAATCTTGATTTCCACAAAGTGTTATCATATTTTCATAAGCTGGCATGGGAAGTAGGTGAACCGAGGGACTTTTTCCTGGAGATAGTCAGAGGGTCTTTGCTGGGTACAGTGCCTGATGGTCCTGTGTTGCTGTGGCTTCTTTCCTCCAGGCCTCCATCTGCAGAAGCAGCCAACCTCTGTCTGGCTTCAGTGCCCGGTGCATGGAGGATGAACAGATGCTCCAGGCCATCAGGAAAGCCAATCCAGGAAGTGACTTCATTTACGTTGTGGACACTCGGCCTAAAGTAAGTGTCACCATTCTGATGCATGTCATGAAGCTGAAGTCAGGGCAAAACCTAATAGACCCTTTAACCTGCTCTCATTACTTCACCTGGAAAGGGGATGTTCTCCCTGCATGGTCAGTACCTGGGTCCCCTGCTGGCTGCTTTCTGGAGGGCCTGAGCTCCCAAAGGAGTTGACTATGTCCAGTACACTTTATGTTTCTCTGTCCCTAGCATTGTTTGGGCACAATAAATGAGTGTGGTTTAGTTTGAGAGACTGATTCCTTAAGTACACACTATTATCATCTGATTTGTTTCTAAAACATCTCTTTCTGCTCTGACAATAGGAGGTTCACTGTGGAGCTCCAGCTGTTCAATTTTTGTGAGGTATTCAGCTATACTTTTTCAAATTCTGCTTATAATCATCTCTCCTTATGATTTGAAAAGATCTATAAAATGTAATGTTAAGTTTAAAAATGCAAGTCACAAAATAAGATATATACTATTGTATTTGTGCAAGAAAAAAATTATAGGGGACTGGAGGTGTGGCTCAAGTGGTAGAGAATCTGCTTTGCAAGCATGAAGCCCTGAGTTCAAACCCCCATCCCACAAAACAAAGAAAAAACAAAAACTATAGACATGTAAAAATATAGGAAAAACATCTGGAATGACAAGCCCTAAGCTATTAAAATTCTATGGAGAAGGGTAGAGAACTTTCTACTTGTCTGTTGTTAGAAAATACTATTTTGTAATTACATACATGTTAATGTACTGATCTTCTAATTTAAGAATGCATCCAGTAGGAAATAATAGCTATTCGTTAAGAGGAAAGCCAAGTTGATCTTATACTTTCCTCCCATTCAGCCTTACTTTTTTTTTTTTTTTAAGAGACTCAGTATTGAAGGCAATGCAATTTCTAGTTTTTTTCCGTAGACCCAATTCTTTCAAAAGCTGTCAATGAATAGAGTCCACAGAGGGGTGTGCCAGTGAAGACATGGAAACAAATCACCTATGTGTATAGTGAATACATAGCACAAAATGCAAGGTCAGAATGGAATGTTTTTTAGTCAACATTCTTGGCATTGTAATCTCTAGACAATAATGAAATAAGGAAAATGTAGCTGGGTCTATGACTGATGAGATAGAAAGATGCCACATAAAAACTTGTTATGAATGTTTATTCATTATTAATAATAGCAAAATGCAGAAATAACCAAATGTTCAACTGAGAATGGGTTTATAAAATGTGGTATGTCCATTCAATGGAACATTTTTTAGCTGTAAAAAAGGAATAAATATTGATATATACTACAACAAGGATGAACCTTGAAAATGTTATGCTAAGTGGAAGAAACCTGTCATAAAGGATCCCTTAATTGTAAGATTCCATTCACATGAAATGTCCAGAATAGGCAAAAATTCACAGTGATAGGGAATAGACTGATTGTTGCCTAGGACTGGAGATAATGAGAAAAATGGGAGGTGACTGTTAATGGGTAGAGTATTTCTCTCTGGAGTGATGGAAGTATTCTAAAGTTAGGTTATGGCAGTAGTTGTGAATATACCAAATATCACTGAATTTTACAGTTTAAATGGGTGCATTGTATGATATGTGAATTATATCGATGAAGTGACTAAAAAGAGGACCTGAGTAAATAAAAAGCATTACAAAAGGAAGGAAAAATAGGACTAAAGTTCAAGTCACTGAAAAGTATATGCCATTAGGTGTAGGTATTTACAGACAGTCTACATTCATGGGCAGTATGAGAAATAATGAGACTGGATGCTATCTTTGTGTAAATTCTCAGAGCCTAGTAGCTTTTACTGCTTCTCTAAGCTTCATTTCACCAAATATTGTGAGTTATGAGCCGGATCTCTTACTGCGTGGTTCTCCTAGTGTAAGATCAGTGTCCTTCTCATTCCTTGACCTCAGAATATTTGATCACATCATGCTATAGAATGGGTGTGTGTGGAGTAGTGAAGATGAAGTCTTGGGTGTCAATCAGCAAACCAGTCATGAAGACCAGTAGTGAAATAGATATTATGGCTAAATCATATTCACATTCTAGTAGGTTATGTATATGCAAAGGGTCCCTTCTTTTAAAATACATTCTCAAAGGACAACACACAGACACAATGTTAAATCAGAAACAGAAATAGCTTTCTGCTTGAAGATTTTCACTTGAAAGATGCCAGAAAAACTTCTGACCTTTACTGTTCTCTTTCAATTTATGCTTTTGTTTCTGGCTCACACTTTAACCCCTTCCTCTGAACACTGACTGCCTTCCCTCTTCTTGTTATGCAAGTTAAGTGGGGCTGTTTTGAATTTCCTAATGTCTCAGACAGATATACTGAAAACAAGAGGGGGAAAAAAAGAAAGGGGCTTTATGGAGTTGAGACTAGAAAGTTCCTTTCCTGTCCTATTTTTCCAGCTTTAAATAAAGGCAAACAGATTCACCTACTAATTTCAGAGCCAGTGATCCAAGTTTGTACTATTATGTAAGCCTTCCGTAGAATGTGGCAGCTGTAGGGTCAGGCATATTCCAGATTTAAAATAAATTAATCCAAAGGATTTGATTTGAAGGGTACATTTGGCACTCAGTGTGTTTACTCTCAGTGATAAGAAGTTTGACACTGATGCATTAAAGAAAATTGGTGGCCCCTTTATGTTTATACATGCACACGCACACTACATGATTTTTGAACTGTTTGTTTCGAGCTTTCATTCTTTTAAAGATCAGGTCTGTTGATTTTTTGTCCCAGAGTGTGTTAGGTTTCCTTGGTAGCCAGGAGACTGAGTGGATTTTTGCCATGGAAGTTGTGGACAATAGCACACAGACACTTCCCAGGTTTGCTCACAGGTTTAGTTAAAAAGAAAAAGGCTTAGGAAGCAGCCTGAATGATTCTTGTTCTTTGAGCAAGGATAACCTCACATTTGAGCCTTCTAACTTGCTTCTAACATTTCAGTAATGGACTGTTGATGCAGTATTTGTTGAATTATAAGATGAGGAGTAGCTCATTTTATCTCATCATCATTCACAACATTATCAAATGTCCTAGGAACTTGCTGAGCTTTTAAAAGTACCAGGTGCTTTCTCATTTAATTGTTGTAACAATCCTGCAGATTAGGAGTTTTTGTTTTTTTTTTTTTCTTTTGGGTTTATAAAGGTTAAGTAATTTACCCAAGGTCACACAGTTTGGGGCAGAATCCAGATTCAAATGCAGGCTTCTCTTTCTGTTTGACCATGGAGTTTTTTCTGTTTATAAAAACAATCTACAGCAGAACCATGTCCCCACTTAAGGCTCAGTAGGGTCACCACCTCTGAGTTGAATACACAGCCAGTGAAGCTGGAGATGTAAGCTGAAGAACCAGCCACAAGCTCATCCAGTGTTAAGCCAGGGACAGAGAAGCAAGGCAGCCCCTGAGCTGTGTGCTGAATGCTGGTTGCTGTGGATGAGTGTGGAGCCCCAAAGGGAAGGGGTGAGGTTAAGGCAGGCAGAGCTGAGTTAATACTCAGCTTTCTGTTCTTGTTCCGTCGCCAAAGATTTCTTTGTGGTTATGGCCTCTGATTTCACCATGTCACTGATTTCTTTCATTATTCAAAAGGTGGCATTTGGAAACTACAGTTGTAAAGGTTAGGGGTGCCTGAAAGAACTGAAGCTAGGATCTCATTTTCTAGTCAGATGTGTGATGGCCATTGTGGCAACAAGCAAAGGAAATAGAATGGGAGAGTGACAGTAGTGTTGAGTGGTGGTAGAACAGTCTGTACACTTGCTCTTTTGTCAGCACGAGGATGGGGAAATTTCAATGAACATGAGCCATCTTGCTAGAACCTTTTTAAAAGGGCTGTGCACTAAGGGCTCCCAGCAAAAGTGACTGTAGGATGTATTGTGGCAAAGAAAGCTGAGGGGATTGGAACAGGCTCATGCCACAGTAGATCTCCCTTCAAGAACCCGTATGTAGGCCTTAGGAGATTTAGTGTCTGGACCCTTATCCTGTGAAGGGAGAAATGGTCAATTAGTATTAATCAGAAAAGCAATGGCAGCCAATAAAGAGAGAATGCAACCTTGCCTTGGTTTGCAAAGATCTTTTACCTTCCTGCATCCCTCCTCTGCAACCCCCACTCATTAAGAGAGCCTCCAAGAAAGAGATGAGGAAGGAAGTCCCTGAGCAAAGCACTTACCAGTTCAAATAGCCTGTGATGGTACATCATGTATGGGTTGAAAATTTAAATTAAACTGGGTGCAGATTTCCTATCTGAATGTAATCCTAAAACTGTTAAATCACCCAAGATGCCCCCTAGGAGGTAGGAAAAGATTTTTACCAGCTCACTTGTAGACAGTAGTTGCAAGGAATAAAATCACCATATTTTAATGTTTGTGCCATAAGTTAAGGTCCTTTATTTAACAAGTTATAGACTGGGAGAGAAAGGACAATTATTTGATAACCTGTAGAGGGTTTGGCCAGAAGTTGATCTCTTCCTGCAAAGATCAGCTTCTGTCTTCTACTGTTTGTCCTTGTCAGATCAGGCCCAGTCACAATTCGGGTATAAAGTATAACTGGTAAAATGTTAGACTTCAAGACTAAGATGAGGAGCAGGCTGACCTTTAACTTGATACGATGACACTCACAAAGTTTTCCTAGGTTTGACTGATGCAGGGTTAAGGAGAGAATCTGAGTGTTTCTTTGCAGCTGTAGTGTGCTCACTCTTACTTCATTTTGTCATTTATCCAGTTGGTCAGACTGTCAGTAAATCTCCATTTAGTGGCTGGTCTGTGCTAGTAGGGGTATGTCCACAAATGAGGTGTCAGTGATGGCCGTAAACAAGATTACAAGACTTCCTATGGAGTTTAAGGAGCTTACGTTCTCCACTTCTCTCATTCACTGCTGAATTTTCACACGCCCACCTGTCACCACCCTCCGATTCTGCTTGGTCTTTTTTATTATAATAGACTCTAGGTCAATCGCAAGTTTTCCAGTTAAACATGCTCAAAATTATTATTTGTTCTCCACTGCCCCAGATGAAGTCTATGTTTCTTAATGGAGCCTGTTTGTAGAGGACCCTAAATGCATTTGAGCCTCTTCTCTTGCTACTGCGTCTATGAGCCTCTGCTTGACTTAGAATGGATGACTCACTGATGCCCACATGCTCTGATTTTGCCCCTCTATCTCTTCCTCCTCCCTGCTTCAGCTAGAATGTCCTCCTTCTGTCTCCAACATCCATGGTGACTAATGTCCATTTAAACTTTCAGTTTATATCATAAAACATTACCCGGGCGTCTAGTCAGATGAGGTTGCTCTAGATTCTGACTCTCACCTCTTTCCACTGTCGCTATCTCTGCTGTTCACTCAACTCCTACCCAGATCTAGTAGGGATTGTCTGCTGCTGCTGGGCACCATATGCATTTGTTTCCATATGAATGAGGACAGTAAGAACAGCTTCTTATGTGTGTTTTTATTTCATTCAGTGCCCAGATCACAGTCTGTGTTCATTGAGAAATGAGTTAGGTTTATGTTGTTTTGTTTCTTTCATGACTCTTTCTGTACCCAAAGATGCTGGTATCAAATAGCAAAGTGATCTTGTGTTAGACAAAAAGTACTTTTTCCAACTCCCACCTTTCGTTTGTGTTGTGGTTCTTAAATTTAAATAGAAGCTGGAATGAGCTTACCTCTGTTGTTTTATCTACTTGAGAATTTTTAGGAGCTAAAACAAATAGCTTTTTCTTTGGTTGTGACATAGAGTTCTTAGCCAGAAGGACCAAATTAGACTTGCTAATAGTGATTTAATTACGTAAGGGATACTGTATCTTTATTTGTATATATAATGAGTCTAGGAAAACTTTTTGAATGCATTTAGTTATAAACCATGTTTCCTGCCTTGAGGGTTCAGCTTTTGCCACATTATCACAGCAGATCCTGTAAAATAGGTAGAACTCCTGAAAAATTATACTTTGGATGTAGATTAAATATTGCCACCTTCTGTTCATAATGTGAAGTACACATTGGCTCTCAAAAGTTTGCCTTGAATTTGCTCTTTTGCTTTAAAGAAAGACTACCAATCAGTTCTCTCATCACAGGTAATCAGTCCTTTAAGATGTGAGCATAGAGTCTTAATTATATATTATAATAATTATCATTATTATAATAGTAGTATTTTGCTTTTGTAGTGTCTTAAAACAATAACATTTATTTTGCTTACAAATCTGAAGTTTTACCAAGTTCTGAGAAAGGCGGGTTCCTATATGCATCCCCTAAAGTGTATTACACTTTTTAGAACAACAAGATGTGTGGTGAACAGACTTAACTTGAATTATTTAATATAACAGAATAAACATAGTGCACATGTAATATACGAATATTTGTATGTATCTTGATTTGTTTTATGAAGTGTGTCATAAAGGATTAACCAACAGCCTTGAAAATAATTATATAAAACAATAATATTTTGTAATACATAGTTCCAGAAGAAAAATGGCCATAGATAAGTGTTGAAAAAATTTCCCCTTACAATATATGAACTTTTAAAAGAATGAGCGTAAGTTGTCTCTAGGGTATATCATTTAAACGTTTTTCCTGATTAACGCTGAAGCCTTTATTCTCATGATCTGTTCAGGAGAATGGTGGCCTTCTTTTGTAGACTTGGAGCAGAGTCCTGAGGGGCTGATGCTTCCCAGTTGATTCACCTGAGCTACACTGTAGAACAAGGCTGCTATTGAAATGGGAGCCCCTGTGGGACCTGCCCTTCTGCTGTTTTATTTGTCACTTGGGATAATTTTATTTCTGTTATTTAAATTACAAACTTAATGTATGTTCTTTGTGGCTGTGAAAGTACGCAGGAGTATTGATAGTATTTTCTTGCAACTTGCTACCTTCTGTGTTTCTGCTGTAACTGTTAACGAATTGGTATATTCTTCCATAGACTTATTCTGCTTAAGTGGACATGCATAAACATAAATATATATTGGTAAGAAGTTGGTTTGTTTTATTAAAAATGAATGATTATATGTATATTATTCTGTATTTTGCACACACACACAACACAATGTTCTTCTTGGTGCCTGGTCCAGGGCATGAAGATACCATAATTTATCCTGTCATTGTTCTTTTGAGATATTCATGGGTTTTCAGTTCTTTACTATTATAAAAAAATTAACATTCTTAGACAGCTGTCTTTATGTATTGATAATTTTAATTTTGTCAGTCTCAGAAATAGGAGATCTGAGACAAAGAATGTATGTTTTTAACTTAATTTAGCTTTTTCAACTTAGCTTAGCTTTTTGAAAAGTGCCACTTTGCCCTGTTCCCTTAAAAGCATATATTTTTTCTGCTTGTGAGGTCCTGGTATAGGTTTTCTGCCTGGGGTAGTTTTCTGCCCTGTTTGGCCTGAGGATGAGAAACTGTTTAGTAGCTGTGATGGCCTGCTTAGTCAAACAGCAAGAGTAGAGTATTACCAGACATTGATCTGTTCTAGAAATCGGTTTGTTTCCCAGCTAAGGCAGCACTTGTCCACCTCTTGATTTTACTATGCAGGGTTAGGACAGAGTTTGGGCTTAATAAATTTCTTCAGAGTCCATTATTATTTAACTCAGTTTTCTCTAAGAGACCTCCAACTTCTCATATGCAAAATTAGTGGAATTTTTTTTTAAGCCCACTTCTTTGGTGTCTACATTTAAGTAAGGTGCTGGAGGAAATGTCTCTGGAGATTGAGTGTCTGAACTCTTTCTCTTCATTCTATTCAGTGATTTTGTTCGAGGCTTGTTTGGGTATCTGGGGGATCCTTATGTGAAAATTAGAATGATGTAAACATTCCTCTTTGATAACTTGTTTATTGGCAATGTCTGCTGGAAGATAATAATTTAACTTATAGAGCCTTACATTGACCACTGTCTCTGCTGATATTCTTCTGCCATCCTGCAGGATGTTACGTGTGGTACTAAATTAGAGCATCTTGTCTCTGTCACAGAATTCCACACTCAATTTGGCATCAGTTTGGCAGATGTTGAATCTGCAAGAGGTATCTCCAGAAGGGTTTATTCTATAGGATGTTTTCCAGCTAAGAAAATGTTTCCATGCCAACAACTTTATATTGCGGAAGATACACAACTCACTACAGCATCCCAGTAATTTAAATCATACTACGTTTCTGTCCGTCATTCTGAATGTTTTTATGAGTATCCATGAAATGCGTTGGTTGCCTTGTGTCCTGAATATAATTGACGGCTGTTCTGTTTTGCTGACACTGCAGCTTAATGCAATGGCAAATCGTGCTGCAGGGAAAGGCTATGAGAATGAAGACAATTATTCCAATATCAAGTTTCAGTTTGTCGGGATAGAGAACATCCATGTCATGCGGAACAGTCTGCAGAAAATGCTGGAAGGTAAACCATTTCCTTATGCACAGCACTAAAAGAATACAGCTATTTTTTGATGCCAATGCAAAATAAGATAGTCTTTTGATTTTAAATTGTTTTTTTTTTTCAATGATGCTATTACATAGGCATGATAAGCTTGGGAAGTAGGTTGCAGTGATTCTGTAAGCATTAAACAACCTGCTTTATTTTATTTCTTTCAAGAATTAGTATCAAGTGTGTCATTTGGTAGCCAGCATTCAGAGAGTCCAGTGGCCCTTAACATCTAAGATAAAAGTGCACAGGGATATTTGCTTTTTCTTCCTCATAATGTCAGTCTGATCCATATTCAAGGCCAGTTGGAAAGAAAGCAATCCTACATTTAAAGCAATAACCTGCTGTTATTTTGTGCAGATCATTTTTATAAACTGTATCTGCAACTTGCTGAGTGACCTTTGAAGGAAGGATATTGGAGGTCCTGACCCTTACTTCTCACCAGCAGCAACTGCTGCAGTACACACGTACATAACATCCCCATCCTTGACAAGCAGAGTAGCGAGATTGCAGGACATTCACACACAGACTTGTACTCATGTACAGAGGAAATTTAAAAAGAATGCTCATATAAAACAGAGCTATTCTTATAGCTATAAGCTGGTTAGCAGAAATTCTGCATTTCAAGCAAAACCTACTTTACCTACTGCTTATGTTCCTTATGATCAAAAGGCCCACTGAACAAACAATCTGTTACCATGCTCTACCACTTCTGGCCTTAGTGGCACCTGAGAAAAGAAAGAGGATGCAGAAGCCATGGCTTCACCTTGCCTGTGAATACTTTTCTGGAGAAAATGTGGAGAGATGGAGCTGAGTGCTATGGAAGTGGGCTGTCTTGATGGGAGAATGTGGAGTCTGGAGTGAGAAGGACAAAGAAGGGGCAGAATTACTGTTTTCTATGAATACACATTTGTCCTCAGTTACTTACCTCTGTTCAATCAGAACAACAGAGTGTGGTAAGAACTTAATGTTGGGACTGGAGAAACGTGAGTGTTACAGACACCATTCTCTTTCCTATACTACCTGGTTTATTTCAGTTATGAAACTTTGAACACATCAGTTAATTTCTTTGGAGCTCTCTTACCTGCTATAAAGTGAGAGGATGAAATTAATAATTACCATGGATCTTTCTAGCTTTGGCAATTTGATGCCTCTGGTTGTAAATATTTTAAAATGAAGCATGTGCAAGCCGGGGGTGTGCAGTTTCGTGGTAGAGTACTTGTCTGGCATCTTCAAGGTCCTAGGTTCAATCTTCAGTCCTGGAAAAAAAGAACATTTGAATGTTAGAAGTAATTCTTTCCTGCATCTAAAACAAAAGTCACAGCTCCATATCATCATCTTAGCTCAACACATAATTTGCTGTCTGTTAGGTCACAGTGACAATACTGTCAGTGTGACCATTTGAACTTCTTATGCTTCTACAGATTTTCATGGACTGTTCCTACTATAAACAGTGCATTTGATATGGGCTAACTTTGTACTGTTGTTGAAAAGGTAGTCTAATGTTAGCATAAAAGAAGTGTCACAGTTGTTAAAATCATTAGAAAATCTTTTACATTGATAAACTCTACATTTTCATTTAGCAATTTCATAAACTACTTTTGAGAACATCAGTTTTCTTCAGTGCAGAAAGTTGTTTCCAGGAATGCTCATACAATATAAATTTGACTATAATTTTAAATTGACATTTATTTAGTTTCTCAACCCTTATCCCCATGGTCTGACTCACTGCATTTTCTAAAGTACAAGCAAATGGACCAAGTTCCTGAGGGCAGCTGTCTGTTTCACAAGGGATTATGGTACTTCTACATCACTTTTCCAGCTATGTGTCACGCAACAAGCAAGGACATCTTTCTGGATGCCTTTCAGGGGACTTGACTAATGTTTGACTATCTGTTTTTCTGAGTAAATTATAAACCACTTGTGGAGGCTCAGCCAGTGATGAAGTGATGCAATCAGACCCTCCTTCTTAGGCAGGGTCTTCTTCAAACAGCTGTCCTTGGCGTCACAGATTAGAAGGGTTATACAGTGGGTCACTGGTGGGTAGGTGTAAGTTCTAAACTTTGTAAGTTCTAAACCAAACTATTTTGTGGTAATTGCTCCTCCTAAGGAGATAAAATGATGCCCTTCAGTTATGTAGCAATTTTGGAAATCCATATACATAATGGTTTTCCCCTCATAATAAAAGGACACCCTGAATTTTCTTTGCTATTAAAATGCCTAGTTAAGAGCCTGAAATAGACATTTTTCAAGGCTAAGGATATTGATATCATCAGAGGTGGAGCTATAACTTTTCCCATCCTCCATGTTGGAGAGGGAATCATTAGGAGGAAGGTTGAGTGGTGTACATGAAGTACATACATATCATTTGGTGAGATGCACCGAGGTGCCTCTTTGTGTACCTCTGCTGTCAGGGGAGGCAGGAATTCACTGCAAAGGTGTGGCAGGACTGCTTCCTTTTTCAATCAGCATGCCATCTTTTGGATGTTACTTAGAAATTTCCACTTTCTCTCCACTGCTAGCTCTGTGTCTATATTACACATGAAAGTTAGATTAATACTGCTGGCTATTATGTAGTTGTATATAACTGGCTATTCATGTAACTAAAAACTGAGCAGCTTCCATGTACCAGGCCTCACAAGAATTTCCTCTTAAATGATTGTGTTTCATAATTCACCAGCAATAGTGTCCAGTGCACGACATCCCTACTTTACAGATGAAGAGACTCTTAGAGAGGTTAGGCAATTTAAGTTGGCTTAGCAAGGCAAAAGCTATTTTGTTAGGAGATAAATAATTTTTTTTACTAGATTGCTTCCTGTTAGGGACTATTCTAAAGTATAATTTTAAAATATAATGACATAAACCTGCCTATGTTGGTAGTAGTGTTTCATTTATAATAATAGAGTATCAGAAATCACACAAATGTCCAATAATAGTGGACCAATTAAATCATCTGCTCCACTTTCTTCATAGTAATGTTTGCATTCCTTAAAAAGGCTATATCCCTTACAAGGGTGCAAAGTATCAGCTGGGCTGTGTTCTCATCAGAAGGCTCAGATGGGAGAATCTGCTTCCAAGGTCATCCAGGCGGTTGGCAGAGTTCATTGAGGGCCCTGCATTTTGTTGACTGGAAGCTTCTCTTAGCTCCCAAGGCTGCTGCAGTGAATATAAAAATATGTGGCTGATACGTGGCAGTTTGTTTTTCAAGGCCAGTGGCAGTGTCTCTCTGCTGTTCTAGATCTAGTACATCACAGTTTTAATTAAGACATTTTATAAACATCCTTCCCAGGATTTAGACCTAGTACTTTCTGTCACATTACAGCCATCGTCACTGATTTGTGGCTCTGATATCAGACAGGTTCACAGAAAACCACCCCATGTACTTGAAACTCAATTTTTAAAGATGTTTTCACACAAGTGATCCTTATTGTGATCATGTTGTAGTTTTTCTTGTTATGTTCATTTTACAGATGAGGAAGTAGAGGTATAGAGGCTATGGATGGCTCTCAGAAGCAACTGGTAGACCAAGGTTTTCACCTCATTACTATAATTCAGATGCCATCGTCTGCACTGCTGGGCTGTACTGCCTTTGTAGGGAGTGGGTTGGAGTGGAACATGCCCTGTTAAGAATGTGAGGACCTACGTTTGGTACCTGAGTAAAATTGAACAGATCTCATTTCCTATATGTGTAAAGTCATGTAAATATTATATTCTCACTGTTTAATTCATGACTTGTTAAAAAGACTCCTTGCAAACCACAAGTGCTTTCCAGTGCATGTGTTTTCTCTTGGGAAGCAATAACATATTTTAAAATAAGCACTGGATAAAATGGGTAAGTTGATGGGCTCTAGATTAATTCAGTCACTAAGGCAAGTATTTGCTAGATCCCATGCCTTCTATGGTAAAATTTCTTTATTCAAAACACAGCACAATTAGCCAGGCATAGTGGTGCACTTGGGAGGCTGAGGTAGAAGGGTTATGAATTTGAGGCTAGACTGGGCTGCATAGTAAGAACGTTCCTGAAAAACAAAATGAAACAAAAAAGACAGTACAATTTTCAGAGGCAGGTAAGTGTTTGCCTCACAATATGGTCTTTGTCCACTCAGTGAAAATTCATCAAAAATAATTTAATAAGCATGTCAAGCTTTGTGGGGATTTTCTCAGCAAGTTGTTTTACAAACCTCAGCCTGAGAGCAGATCAGATGGAAAGTAGGCCCAGAGGACATGGAGCGAAGGCTCACTGTCAGTTTAGCAGTTTTGATAGTAATGCAGTAAAAGGGTTGTTTGAAAGGAGACTGAGCAGATTTGATTTAAAAGATTGAAGTCTTTTTTAGCAGGCCTCAAAATATAATCATAGCTTCTGACATTGTGGACATTGGCTATGGAAATCTTTTGTAGCAAAATCAGGTGGCCTTAGAGATCCTATCCAACCTGTTCTTTTGTGTAAAGGTTCTGAGGCCTGATTAATCAGTCTTCCTTAGGCATAGAAACTTGGAGTGTGTCATGGGAGGTGCCATTTTGGTGGGTGTTATGGGCATATGTTCGATTGCTCTGGTCTCCCTGCCAGGTTGCCTTGGGGGCACCCAGCTCTGCCAGGGAATGGTCCCTAATACACCTAGCTCCATGGTTTCCATGGGACATTTCTCTCTGCTCAGAGAGGTGTGGCCATCTGTACAAATGACCTTTCTTGAGTCTTTCTTTCTTACTTCATGTCTCTTTGGGGTGATAACTAACTCAATTTTAAAGCAATGGAAGACTTCAGCCCTTTACAGGTATTTCAAATTTAAGTTTTTCATTTTGAAATTTTTCTTTATCACATTACCAACAAATTTATAGTAGGAAGCTCTACTAGATATGATCTAATGAAATGCTATAAGGGTTAATCCTTTTTTAGTTCTCTATATTCTCACTTTCATCAGTTTTAATTTCCTCAGATTACTAAACCATTAGATGGGACAACCAATAAAGACCTGAAA